TTTTTTTTTTTACAAAAGATAATCGTCTATTGATCGGAAAAAAAAGATCATTATGTGCCTTAACCAGGACACAAAATCAAAGGAACGACACGGTATCGAGTACAATGAAAGGGTCGTATGAGCCACCAATTGGACTACCCTATTATGACGCCGACCTACGAATCGAACACTAAACCCCATATGCGCAGCTAAATAGCCCAAAATTTCATGGAAAATGGCACCCGCACGGCAATCCCGGCTTGAGCGCGGTTGAGTTTATCAATAACCACCTTAGCATCACCTTAGAATCTTACCACTGAAAAACCCCTCTAGAGGCACCATAGAACAGCTTCCCGGAGTACCAGAAGCTCCACAATCATAGGGCCATCCGCCCATAGCGAAGATGACTTCTCCAGCTTGGTCGAGGAATATCATTCCCCCAGCCGACCCACGTTGTGTTGACCCATCCCACCTGCAAACAACCGAACCAGGGGTGACAAGCAGAGTTTCATCATCCCTAGTCATAGGGGCGCACACCACCATGTTTGTTGACAGATTATTCCACTCCTGCAACTGCTAATGGTATTGCCACATCAAAGCTAGGATCTCGAATCGCATGCCTTCGAAGACATTCAGGTTATGAGATTTCCAAATCTGCCATAGCACAGCCACCAATGCCATAACTTGAGGCAGATGCTGAATGACAGCCAACAGTTTTTTGAGAAAAAATGGCAAGGTATGATGCGGGAGGTCTTGGCAAAGATGCTCCAGACCAGCAAGATCCCACAAAACTCTTGCCACGGGACACTTCAGAAAGAGATGTTCCATACTTTTGGATTCAGCCCAATAAACCGGACACCTAGGGTGCACCGGGACATCTTTCTCTCTAAGGGCTTCTGTTGTCGGGAGGAATCGGTGCAAGATTTTCCATAAAAAGACCTTCAAATTGGGGGAAATTGAGGAATCCCACAGACGGATCCAGCTATGGTGATCCATCAAGCTCACCGTGGAACTGCATTTATAATATTGCTTACCAACCAATCCTGCCAGGTGATATGCTGATTTGACAGTGAAAACCCCATCACATGTGTCATGCCAGATATTTGTTAATTTTATTTTCTATGTGGATTCTTTTGTTTTGATTTTGTTTAATTCATTCTATTGAGCAATCTATTTTTATTTTCATCTTTCTACTTCGCTCATTTTCACTATTTGTTCGCAATATATTAGATGGGTACTATTTTTAATTAATTTTATAATGATTTTTATGTCATGGTTGATAATTTATTTAAATTTTATTAAATTTTTATAAAAAACAAGTTTGGATGGCATTTATTGATAAAACAAGGTCTCCGTAATCTCAAGAAAGGCCTTGCTCGAGTGCCTTGTTGAGTTGCAAAGTTAGCAACCTTGTTGGTACAGGAGCAACATTTCAACCCTCGCCATGTCGCGGCCTTAACAATGGCGTTGTGGCTCAAACAATGTCGCAACATGAATTATGGTGCACCCTTGCAATAACACATTCGTAGAGCCATGTTGCAACCTTGGTATCACGTGGTTCGGAGCCATGAGTTAAATTTTGGTGGAGTTCTCAGACTTCCTCTGAGAATCCTATTCATTAGGTTTCCTGGAAGACATTGGATTAGAGTAAATTTCACGGGGGACTGGGATTCAGATATTTTGGAGCCTTTTATTAGGCACTCTTAGCTAGACAATGTTGGTGCATTCTACTTTGACCCGATTCATTATTGGCAATGATCATTACTAGAGTCATCATTGGGCTCTTACCCATCAAGGGGATGGAGAACCTCATTACATGGTAGAGATCTCCATTAACAACGAATGAGATGTCAAATTGGAGACGGAATGGACACCCTGGCTTTCTTTGACAAATGGGTCCTGACTGATTTCCCTTCAACCCCAAGTAGTTTTTTTCATAAATCAAGGATTGAGAGAGTGGAACCGGTCTAGATTCCAGTTCTTCTTTGACATTAAGGCTCAGCGAGGTGCCAGAAGTTACTGACACTAAGGGAGTTCACGGTCTCTAAGACCGTGAACTTGGAGCACAAATCGTGAACCCAGGAGAGTGAAGCGGTGCGTTTTGGAGACGACACTGACTTCACGGACGGGTTTAGGTGTTCAAGGCCGTGAACTGGTCACTTTCGGGCAAATATGAAGACAACAGCGGGGAGAGAGAAAGAAGAGCTAGTTTTTGGAGAAGGAACACTTTCTTTCTCTAGGGTTTCAACCCAAAACACCAAATGGGAGTTCTAGTGAGAGAGAGAGAGAGAGAGAGAGGGAGAGTGATCTTGGAGCTTAATTGAAGGCATTATTCAAGCTTGGAAGCTAGGAATCAAGTCTAGAAGAAGAATAAGAAGAAGAAGATCTAGAGGTTTCTTTGTAATCTCTCCTCCCTCTCTCTAGATCCTCACCCTCTTCTCTTGGGTTTAAGAATCCTAGGTCTAGATTTGGGTTAAATGTTGATGTATGTTACAAACTCCATGATTGATTGATGATTTCACTTAATTGATTGATGTTTTCATGAATGGCATGAGTTGGGTTTCCATTTTCATGTATTGAGCTTTTAACCTAGGATGGAAATAATCCCCTTAGAGCCCCCTTTTGGCGTCTTCGGGTCACTCCTATTGTATATTGTCCTGGTAGTGCCTGAGGGAGTTGATTCGATCAGTATCCTAGCTTTATACGAAACCCTAGGTTGAATAGAGCACTACCCATCCATCAATTCGCCGTTCTGGGTCATTCCCGAGGGAGTCCATCTCCAAACGGTAATGTATTTGAGTCGATCGAGCTAGGAGGATACCCAACATCGATCGAAAGAACGGACCTAGGAAGCTTCAACCTAAGAGAGCTCCCAACCTTGTAAATAGCTAGGTTAGTGGGTAGCTAGGTTAGTTAGTTTAATTCTTCTAATCACCATCCTAGGTTGGCTAGATAATAAACCCTAAACCTGAAGTAGGGTAAACCTAGATCCTCATGGTACGATAAATTCTTATTGCTTCCTTGCCCTATACTATACCCAGTCGGCGGTTATACTTGGCCGTTGATCGGAATGTTGTAGTTAGAACGAGTCAAAGCTCAATATGTGGAATTTATATGCTCACTTCCCAAAAAGATGAACGAATATGGCACTTGTCAATGAGTGGAGTATACACTGTTAATTCTAAATATCATTTAGTGTTGGGCTTACCCCTATCTAGCTAGTCGTCTTAAGCAATGGGTCCAAGTGATGGATGTGCCATTATGGAGAAGAACGTGAAATCTTGAATCGCCGATAATGTTCGATGCCATGTCTATCGAGAGCATCGAGAAACAATAGAACATCTTTTTTTTTTTCAAATGTCCCTTAGTTGTCTCTCTATGGACAGTGGTGGGATGGGAAATTTTTATTCATACGACCTCAACTTCCAACTTTTGTTTTTGATGGCGTCACTTTCTGGATCTGATCCCCTCCAACTTCAAATCATCCAATGCATTTGTGTTTTGTGGAGGTTTTGAGAATCTCACAATAACATGGTTTTTTAGCTTATTCAGCCACACATTCCCTTTCTAGCTTCTCAATCTTTTTTCCAAGGTAGTGGGTTCACCCATATTTCTATCGATCTCTTCTGTTCAATGTTCACCCAGACATTTTCATCAAGATAAACTTTGATAGTGTTATTTTTCAAGACGTACGTAATTCCACTGGTCCGGTCGCTCGATCTCCAGGCGGTCATGTTTGTCTGCCTTTAGGGTTGCAACATCCATGTATTTCGGATCATTACTTAGTTGAGCTTCTAGTAGCCCACGATGCTCTTATTTTAGCAATCAACCGCTAGGTTTCCATGATGATTATCAAAGGAGACTTTGAAGTCGCCATCCACTAGCTCCAACTAGGGAAAAGAAGGATTCATTAAGGGCCAATTCTTTGTGATGGTATTAATTAAGGGCCACCCTGGAATCTCCGGCCGGCATCCACAAACTCCAAACATGACTGTCCATGAAAGGTCCTGGTAATGTCTACTCTAGAGTTAGCTTATTTTAACTTTTGGACTTACAACTTGTTCATTTTTTTTTTTTTTACTTGGTAAGGAGGCTTGGAGATCTATTGAACAACTCGTCTCTTTTGACATTCCTGAGGGAAAAAGTACTTTAGTCCGCATCAAACAAATTACGTACGGAGCAACTCTAATGGTAACGGCAAAGAGTATTGGACTATTTTGGCATCTAATACCTTGATAAATAATGGAGTTGTCATTATAAAGGAAATTGTTGTTTGATAGTTTGAATATTCATTTTTATTTTTTTTTATTTAATTTTTTATGTATTTTTTCAATTTTAAATTTATTGTCACACATTACAATTGTTGGAAAATTATATTTTAGTATCCAAATTTTGCGTGAAATTATCCCGATTTTATTTTTCTTACAAGCTAGTACCTTAACTTTAGTATTTTTAATAACATGTCCATAAATTTTGGTAACAAATTATATTTTAGTACCTTTATATTTTAATATATGTTATAGTGCTTGAAAATTTAAAATTTTATAAATATTTCCACTATATTGCTATAAGAAGTTTCGAATCACTAGTTATTAACATATATTTCAAATTCACAATAATAAAATGGTAGAAATTCACTCATGTATTTGGTAGAAATTCCAAATTATTATCTAATTAGAATCCATCTAAATTATTTAATATTGAAATTCCAAATCCCAAATTGAAATCCTCTATCCAAACCTATCCTTAGTAAATGCCAAAGGTATTTTCATAATTTAGGTATAGCCTCAAAAGGTATGTGAATGAGTTATAACAGGGATTAAACATAGCTCTCGTGTAACTGCTAATTCAAAGAAATTAAACAACACTTTTCCCCACAATCTGAAAGAAGCATAGAAGATAAGGGGTTTTTTTACATAAATATTGTAATTTAAAAAAAAATACCCGAAATACAGTGACTGGAAAAGTAATTCCCAATCTACTGTCTATAAAGACGAATTGGGGCGCGCACGCCTCAATTAGACTCAAAAAACTGAATTAAGGCGCGGGCTCCCGAATTTAATACTACAGCTACCAAAAGCCCAATTGGGGGGGCAATAAAGCCAATTGAGGCGTGCGCGCCCCAATTGGTTTTATTGCCGCCCCAATTTGGCTTTTCGTCGCCCAGATGCCTTATAAACTCCCTGTATCGTCTTCTTCCTCCATATCTCCCAACAAATCGCCTGAATTCCCCTCTAAAGTCGCCGGAAATCGATTCCTCGCCTTCAACCACCCAAACCCCGCCGGAAATTCATCAACCACCCAAACCTCGCCGGAAATCGACTTCTCCAACTCTCCTTTTTCATTCCGTCGGCCATGGAAGGCGAAGAGCTTGACGATGGAGGAGGGCACCATGTCGAGAATCCCGACCGTGGTGGCCGAAGGAGAGGCAGAGGCAGAGGTGGCGGTCGGCGATCAGTAGCTCGCCGTGAGTCCAGCCGCCAATCTCCTTCTTTTTTATTGTCGGCGGCGAGGTTCCGGTTACCGGCGGCCAGTTCCCGATGACCGGCGCGAGTCTCCGGCATGGTTTTGAAATATATTTTTAATTCTGTTTTGTGCGTTAATTGCAGCTCCTATTGTTTATGATCAATATGCTTTGATGCCGCCACCAAGAACGTTAAATCCGGCTCCATTAGAGAACGAATTATTATGGGCAGATGGTGAACATCGAGCCGATTTGGTTTGGGCAAATGAGGTATGTACTTTAATTTATGAATTATAAGTTATTTAATTTAGTTTGAATTAGTATGGATTAGGGAAAAGTACTCATTAGTGGCTATGAATTGTTTAAGTGTATAGTTTTTATCTATATAGGTGCTTTTGAATTATAAGTTATTAAATTTCGTATGAGTTAGCATGGATTAGCATAATATTTTATTAGTGGTTTGAATATTTTAGATTTACAGTAAAGTTATAGTGAGTTATAGTGTGATATACTTATTTTGGTTAAATGGTTACATGATGATGAATATAGGTTTTGGTTCGTCCATATAAGACTCGAGGTACATCTATATTAGGCAAGTATTACGGAGTTTATGAACCATACATTCGGGCTGCTGGATTGTATACTTTTATGGAGCTTGCCTCGTTGCATGGTGATTCTGACTTGATCACGGCAGTAGTGGAGCATTGGCGACCAGAGAGCTCCACTTTTCACCTCCCTTGTGGCGAGTGTACCATTACTTTGGAGGATGTTGTCGTGCTTACAGGACTATCAGTTGACGGTCAGGCTGTGATCCTAGATATTCCAAACTCATCATGGGATGATATATGCATGAGTCTACTTTGGAAACTTCCTCCTGTAGAGCAGCGACAGATCTTGCGAATGGACGTGTTAAGTACTCTTTCCTTAGAGATGCATTCACTACCTTGCCAGAGGAAGCTTCAGATCATACTACTAGTTAGTATGCGGGATCATATTGCATGCTGCTTTTAGGAGGAGTGATGTTTCCTGATCGATCTGAAGCTAAGATGCATCTTATGTGTGGTCTACTTCTCGAGGATTGGGCACGTGCAGGAGGCTATGCATGGGGCGCAGCTGTATTAGCATACTTATATCGAGAGCTTGGTAGGATCACTTTGAGGATGACATATGCACCGACTATGGGAGGTGATCTTGGAGGCTAGACCGACTTGATAGCTGCATGGGTGTGGGAGCGATTTCCAGCCCTCGCCCCTTTAGATACACGCTACTGGCAGCCTGTCACGGAGGATTCACATCCACGTGCTGCGAGGTGGTTGCCCCACCTACATCGGGCTCACACAGACTACATGCAGTGGTTTAGAGTGTTCATGGATGAGAGTAGACAGCCATTTGTGGTGAGTAATTAGAACAAAAAAATAAATTATAATAATAATCACCATTAAATTATAATACTAATTAGAATATTTTGCATTGATCATGTTTGGACTTTGGATGTAGTGGCGTCCTTATCTGGAGAGAGATCCAGATATTGCAGCCTGTGTACAGGAGTCGGCGACCTTTCGAGCCGTGGTTCCACTGATTTGTTTTCGAGCAGTGGTCTGGCATCATCCAGATCGTACGTTACGTCAGTTTGGCATGGATCAAAACATACCCCATAGTCCAGAGAGCTCAGAGGAGATATTGTGGTTGCTTCGTCAGGACCAGCGAGTTGTACCATTAGGCGCCGACTTGTGCACCACGTATCGAGAGACGATCGAGTTGTGGGATAGACGAGCTATGTATGTGGCGAGTACGCGCGCCCCAATTAGTCATATTCCCGCCTCAATTAGCCTTTGGCTCCTTATTCAGGCGCGTGCGCCTTAATTCGGTTTACCGCGTACTATAAAGCCCAATTGGGGTGTGCACGCCCCAATTTTGTTTTAGCAACAATAGATTGAGAATTATTTTTCCAGTCACGGTATTTCGGGTATTTTTTTTTAAAATTACAATAGTTATGGAAAACCCCCAAGATAAGGAACATAAGAAAGCAGAGAAAATGTGAAATAAAAGGGGGTGTGGGGGTAGAAAAGGTGGTATGGAATTAATGAATGAGAGTTTAATGCCCTCCAACGACTTTGACAACAAAATTTCCGTGGAAGATGGCCAAACTGCCCTCACCCAACTGTCAAAATGGGTCACCTCCATAAACCTCCAAATCAAGTATTAAAAAATCGTATCGTACTAATGGTTGGACCAGAAAATCTTTCTACCTCGAGCGAAATTGATATGTGGTATTTAGTGGTATGAAATAGTTGAATTGCCATTAAATCACGATTTCAGCGTAAAATATTCTATCACAAACTTTTCCAATACATACAATATATCAATTGTTGTTCCAAACTGTCCAAATTCACCACTTCAGAACTTTCCAAGGCTACCTTCAATTTTCACCGTAACACCATATATGCAACAAATCCACTGTACCTTCCAACTTTACTTTCCCCATCTCACACACACTACACAAAATTCTCTTCTTTTTTCCTTACACCACAGTCTATATTGGTGACAAGTGAGTGTGACCAGTTACTACTCTAGTTTAGTTGGGTCGGGTTGGTAAATTGATTAAAGATGTCACTTCTCTTTTACTGTGTGGTCCAAACAAGCATTTTTTTTTTGTCGGAAGCAATTTTAATCTTTAAGAAAGTGGTCTCAATTTCGTTGAAATATACAACTCTCGTAACTTTCCATCGTTTGGTTGGTTGATTTAGTTCACTTCACATGAAAATTGGCACCATGGAAGGTGATGTAGAATTCTCACAATCTAGGGTAGCATTTCGAAATTGTATTTTAACGTTTGATGTTTATTACCCATATATATTACCCCCTTCCCAGTACATACTATTCTTTAATTAATAAGTAATAACAGGGATAACATTGAATTCATATTTTTAAGTTATATGCTATTATAGTTAGGGAGTAGATCCGGTCGATGACTATAACCATTAATAACCACATGAATAATTCATGTCAGACAAATATATTCTTCCCAATTAATTTTAACGAGTTATATATCTTTCGTTTTAAAGTCGTAATTCAATATTTTTGCACATAAAATCATATTAATCATGATCTTCAAAAGGACATACATGTTGATATATTTTGGAACCAAAAAATTGACTCATATACTACTAGTCTATACCATGGTGGCAATGTTTGGTGGTAGGTAAGGTTATATCATTCTGGTGTGGATAATATCATAATGTAGTATATATGGTTGTATACATGATAGTAGGGATATACTAATCTTCATTTACCATTTTTAATCACTATCTACCACCAGAGCCCTTTTACTATGCTATAAAGTATTGGTGCTTTAATGTACACCTTGAAGTTGTACCATAACATTAAATGTATAAGTTCAAGTTGTACCATAAAGGAATTTGTACCCTTATGTTATGGTACAACTTTACAAGTTGAAGTTGTACCATCATATAAAAGTACAAGTTCAAGTTGTACCATAAAGAATATGTACAAAACAGTGTAGGTATAATCTAAAACTGTACCATAACATTGAATGTACAATTTCAAGTTGTACCATAATGGTAAAAACCTATAGCACCAATACTATATAGTATTGTAAAATTCCTCTCAGTTATCACCCTATACCAAGATGGTATATTTGGTTCTGAAACTTACAAACCCGTAGTTTTTAAGATCACGATGAATCTTTTACTTCTGTGAAAAGTTTTTTAATTTTGAGTTCAAAACGAAGGTGATACAAATTGGTTCCAATGTGGTAATGGGTGATATGGAAAAAAAACTCTAAAAATATATTGAAAATAAATATCATTTTATAGATCACAACGAACTCGTTTCATTTGTTAAAAAATTGAAATTTAAGTCAAAACAAAATAGATACACCCAAGGGGCCATATTTGATTATACACCCAAACCTAAATTATATATATTGTAATACTATAAAAACAAAGGTTCGAGAAGGCGTTGGGCACAGCCTAACGCCTAGCACTCCTAGGTGGTGTCTAGGTGACGGCGTGACGCCTTGGCGTTTTAGTAAATGGAGTGGTTTTTAGTAAAAATAACAATTTTATAGCATATTTTTTATTTAATTCAATTTTAAATGATTAATAATTTAGCTAACCCTCAACAATAATAAAAATAAGTCATGACCTAGTATTACAATTCCAAATAGAGGAATGAGTGAAGGATGTGTTGAACATAGGGCAGGTAGAGATGTCGTGTTTGTGAAGATTAGCTATAAAACTTTACCTCCTTGGTCAACTAATACAATTAAGCAAGCCTCACTTGGATTAATCATGCCTCACACCAATAAATCACGTCTAGTTTCACCTGGACGTCGTTTAGGTGTTATGAACGCCTAATTGTACACCTAGGCGGCGATATATTTTGTCATGTCTAGTACCTAGACATTGTGTAGGGGTACGCAGAATTACACCTTTTTGAACACGATAAAAATCATACAAGGAATCAGTGAAAACCTCAAAGGATTATCTAGATTAAGCAGAGGAACGAGGAAGCAATAGAAGGGAAGAGATTCTCGGAGGAGGGAGTCATTCACAGATTCCTTGCATGGGTTGAAATCAACAGGCAAGCTCAGGACAATGCTACTCGAAGCATTTTGCCTACAAGATCATAAAAGAAGTGCAACATATTGGTTGGAAAGTTCCAAGACAGGGATGGATCCAAATCCAAACAGATGGATCTGTTATCTCTCAAACTGAAGTTGCTGCTGCAGGCGAACTTCTGCGTAACCACATGGGAAGGTGCGAGGGAGCATTCACTTGCAATCTTGGAGTCTGCTCAATTACAAGAGCCGAGCTTAAGGGTGCCACTGAGGGGTTGCACCTTGCTTGGCGCGAAGGGTACAGGAAAGTTGAGCTGAACTTGGACTCTTCAACTGCCATTAACATCATCAAGGCATGGAAGAACAGTGACCATGTTCATGGGCTGCTTGCGACGCAAATTGGGACTCTTTTGAAAAGAGATTGGGATGTCCGTATTAATCACATTTTTAGAGAAAGTAACTATTTTGCTGATTTCCTAGCTAATAGGGGACATTCTGTTAATTTTGGCACACATTTCTTGGATGTGAGCGACCCCAACTTTTGTTATTGGCTCAATTACGACTCCATGGATATTACCATATCCTCGAGCCGTTATTAATACGATTTAGACGCAGATGGTGTCAGTCTTTTTATAAAAAAAAACCTCAAAGGATTTATATAATAATGTCACTATATCCTCGAATTTTGTAACAACAAGAAAGGGGGAAAAGATAAATAGTCAATTAGGAATAACTAATACTCATCCTTCAGTGGAAAAGATCTGTGGTTTCTGGAACGACAGTCCACGTGAAAGGCTTTTTGTATGTTTCATCTTAGCCAAAGATGGAGAGAGCAGGAATCCACGTTCTTTTTTATGTTCTTTATTACATATATATATGGGCTTAAATGTGGAAATTTAAATCTACAACCAACTTCAGTCATCTCCAATCCGTTCCCCCAACTGCTTTCAGCTATTGCATTTAATGATGCATGTTACTACGCAATGTATCTCTCGGTGAAGGAACTTTCCTTCACTGTTAGGGTAAATATATGCAAGGTTTTACCTCTTTGTTTGGGTGGCTGGCTACATATTTTGACTTTCGTCCTCATTCTTAATAGATCAATCTATAAAATCTCATTTTTTTAATTCGATAAATTTATATGCATCAAATGATGGGTCGATATTACTAACAATTAATGGATTTATCATATATTAGTTAAAGCATCAATTTTTTAATGATGCAAAAGTAATACTCCAACGTACGAACAAAGGATTGGTCTAGTGATAATACCACTAGCCATGAACCTGGAGGTCCCAGGTTCAAGCCCCTTCAGTACCTAATAACAAAAAAGTAACCTATATTGGGTCAACAATAATGCACAACCGAGGAAAAGGGGGGCTAGGTGTATTTGTACTGCGTTTCTGCTCCTGATAGAAAAGTTTGAGTCAGAAATGCCCATACTTCCTTGTTCAGAGGGAGCAGAGAGTGGAACTGAGGATTGGATGGACAGAAAGGAAGAACTTCCAAAAGTGCCTTTAGCCACAATGCTGCAATCAACAGAGCAACTGAACGGTAAATGGCTCTCGCATTTTACTGTCAAAATGACTATACAACTCAATAGAAAGCCCCTCCGCAATTGAGAACCTAACCTTGAACAACCACATGTCACACTTAAGAGATGTCCCCAGCAATACCCGAAGTTCACCGACGAATAATACAGTACTAAGACGTGCCACTGCACACACCTAACCTTACCTGGATGAGTAGTAAATTACTGCAAAGTGTTTATATTTTATCTTTCTTTGCATCCCCAAACCATGTGGCAATATCATCGTCATAATCATCCTCATCAGTAGGGTCAAGGGAGTTCAGCCATCCTGGGGCTTGTGCTGTATCATCGTTTTGATGCGATTCGTTGTTGCCTTTGGTTCTTCTGGTACCAACTTTGCCCCTTTCCAACATTTGCAGCTTCCACTCTTCTCTTGCTGATGGGTCCCGCGACAATGTGCTCTTACCTCCTGCAATTGGGAAATTTATGAACTTGGAACCATAGTCCCCAACTGCTCCCTCTTCCACAAATCTCCGACTGTTTCCACATAACTTCCGATTATAGTGGTCTTGCATCGCGGGTTCGAGGTCACTCAATCCATCATTGTTAGCGGTTCTTGACCGCGTGTCCTCTTCATCTTTGGCAGCGTTGATGTGGTCAAGCTGAGTAGGCGTGCTGGAAGAAGGATTTGACACTATTGGCCGCCTATGATCACACTTCAAGCATATCATGTTCCTCCTAAAGTTGATGTAATTACACCTACAAAACGCCAGCACAAATAGTGAGCTTTATGACAAGATCATGGGAGGAAGTACAATGGAGTTGTAGTGGTTGGAAGGAGGACTCACGACTGGCATTCCCATTCCCCAGGATTCAGATGCCTCTTTGGAGGCCTTTCGTCGCATTGCAAACATCTTGTATTCTTGGCAAAGTTCAAGAAATTGCACCTGTATAAATTATTAGGAATATGAAGAAGAGGAGGAAAACAAAACAGATTAAACCCCCACTGGCTTACTTTTGACAAATCCAATCGCCTTTCTTCAATGGAAGATGATCATGATCTTGTCTCAAATGCTTCAGCCTTTCTTCAGAAAACCCATTGCATCTCAAGCACTTGATGTTCCTAGCAAAATTGATGAAATCGCACCTACGAAATAAAAGTTATAAAGAGCACAAGGTCTGTGAGAAAATTATATGTTAGGAACAATGGGTTTGCTATTTCACACTGGCAAAGGATAATTTTTCAAGTATACTTGGGACAATGCCAGTCGCCTTGCTTCATGGGAACCTTTGTGAAGCCGTTTTTCCCTTCTGAATTCAAACGATGCCTCTCACTCGCTCCTACTTCAAGAGTTGTGTTATTTGACCCATTAGAGTCAAGCTGCTGGCCGCCATACTCCGCCATTTCTTTCAGTAAATTCCTAGCAGAATCATTGACCATTTTGTTTTGACATGGCTTATTATCCACTGTACCAGAAACGAAATCAAGCCCATGTGTCAAAAGAATTCGCATAACATCCACAGTCCGCCCACCTTCATCTTCTCGGGCCTTTACATAGGCCCTCTCACAATCTCCCCTCAAGTTACAGGAACTACAGACCTATGAACAATGCTGGTTTAGGTTGAATGAATGAAACAATGCAAGGTCATGAAATACAGGTGGAAACAAGATAGAAAATTTTCTGTCAAATATTATGATAAGAGACAAGGAATGGAACTCACATTTCCTTCGTTGACACCAACATGTGCACGTAGACGTTTCGCTGAGTTGATAACTTTCCTATCCAAGCTTGGGCAGCCAAACCCTGTGATGATCTGGATATCTTTCCTTGAGAAGAACCTGAAAAAAGATGTAGCTGGTGTCAAGCATGGCATGGAAATAGAAACAAAAAGACATCCTTATCGAAGGATCTCACAAAATCCAAAACAGTTTCCTTCCAAGCTAAGTCGAAATGTGATACAAAGGACGACAAACGGATATTACTGCCTTAAGTATGTTTGGATGAGAAGTGGCTTCTCACAACTCAAACTCCAGCCAAGTAGGCCAGATCAACGCCACCTCTTTAGCAGATATGATCATAACCATGTCTTGCATTATGCTACGAGGAGCAAGCAGCCACTGGTGTTTTTCAAACTCTGGCAGGAAATCACAGTTAATAGAGGATAGCCTACAGATTGAATGGTAGAAAATGAAACTTCCCCTAACATGTCATGCACCAAAACTACTAGGTATTCCATCAGTTTATAGTTTACAGTCCCTTTGATCCTTTCTCGGGTGTTTACGTCGTCTTCGTTTTATCAATTGAAGCTCCAGAACAAGATGTGTACAGTTGTTCTATGTAAAAGTATACCCAGAGTTCGATTGCATTATCTAAGTTATCAAATAAGAGCCCAACAATCTCGGAAGTGAAATGCAGTTCCAATAACTGCTGCCTGCTTAAGCACCATGAATACTAATCCACTGAAACACACATTTGTCAGCAACCTTATCTACTTATTCTGAGGGGAAGTTTCCATCATTACAACGTAATAAAGATGTTATTCTTCTCTAGCTAGTCCAAGATCAAACTAGTGGCAGGGTTCCTTCAAAGTCAAACACTCATATACATCACAAGTAAGAACAAAAACAAGATATTGAGGAAAACGTGTACCAGTAACGATACCTAAAACCAAGCAGAAATTAGATGAATAACCAATTGACAATACCTTATAAGTCCAAACTGATCACGAGCAAAGTTAAGGCATGCTGTTCTGATGCTGTTGGTCTCCTTGCCACCCAGCTCCTCTCTTTGAAACGGATTGCCATCAGCCTCAAAGTAGCCTCGCCTAAACAACAACTCCATCAGATCCACCCACTCAGGCCATGGGTGCGAAATATGAAATGCCTCTCCATTCCCCTTACTTAGTTCACTCTGATCTGATGAAGATTGCTGGGCTATATGGTTTCTCGGTTTCGATGAATTGAGAACCTCAGTTTGGCTGGAAAATGATTGCAGATACGGAACACAGACGCTAACAGCGTGCTTATGGGTCCGTAAATACATAGATACAAGACCAGAGTAGCCTAACTTAAACATTATGGATGCCACACTTTAGATCATTCTTTTTGTCTAGTTTCTGCAAGCCATAAACCCTTTCTAGTTTCAGAGGACTTCTACTAGTCACGAAAGGGTAGTGAAAGTCAGATGCCAACCAATGCATCCAACTCCGATTTTATGATCCACAAAGAGGTTGCTCATATGCTTGGATGCATGAACCTGCAAAAGAAATGTAATTTGAAGCTTTATTTAACGTAAGAGATGAATTCTGTCATGCAGAAATATCAAACCAACACTTCCACAATTGTTCCAAACCACATTTGCAAAGCAACACCTAAATTATCTTTATGCTATACAGTGGCAGTAGACATTTTCATTGATCCCAGCATATGAATCAATCATGAAAAGACCCAGGTAGCAGTATTTGCTATAATCATCGTATCATTAAAGCAGCAGTGATTAGAATAAACAATTGCACAGCCTTCTCGAAACCAACCAACCCACATAAAAAAAAAAAACAAACAGAAAAAAGAGGGGAATGAAAGAAGTCATTCCATGCGAGCAATTGAACCCTCAAATTTCACTGAAGCTAAAAATGGAAGTTGAGATTTGATTAATCGAAGCCAGCCCAGAATCATGGACGCAAACGAGCGTCAAACTGTCTCAAATTAAATTTATAGAAGTTCGTACAAGAAAAGTACCGAAGGCTTACTGAGTTTAGTTCGGTCGTTACGTTCTGGGATTCTGGCGGCTCCAACTGGACGTCAATACTCCACCGGCGGAAAGCCAAACTGTTCTCAGAAAGAAAGAAAGAAAGAAAACCCCGAGCTGCGGCAGAAGAAGAGTTGGGGATCCGCCGGGGTAGACGAGAATCTCAAACGAATCCGGTACCGGTTTTCTGGTCAAACCAAAACTGGCCAGTTTAACCGTTGCGGTTGTAACCGAAACCGCATTTCCATCAACCCAATCCAATTTGCGGTTATAGTATTCGCAAAAAAAATCGTCCCGGCCCGATCAGGTTAAAACCGAGAAAAAACCGGATAATACAAAGCCAAATCCACACAAGCCTGAGCCTAGCCCACCTCCCAGCAGAGATCCCAACCCTCCATGACTTTCCTCTATGTTCTCTCCCTCTCTAACCCTCAAACTCTTCTATCTTCTTTCTTCACACTTTGAAGAAGACGAAGAAGAAGAGAATCCAAGCTCCTCCGCCGGCCAATCACCTCCCTCCATTGCGTTCTGTGATTCTCGACAGCGACCAGCCGATAGCCGGCCATCGCCATTCCGCCACCAGAACTCTCCAATCGCCTCCTCCATCGTCCATCTCGTCCGATCTGACCTCCATCGTCCATCGCCACTCTCACTAGCTATCAATCCAGGAAGAAGATGAGTGATTCTCAACGGCTTTCTCAACGGCTATCTGCAGAAGGCGGGAGCTTGAAGCTTGAAGAAGAAACGAACTACGCAGAAACGTTTCGTTTCTGCCTTCCCCTCCATCTGATGTTTCAGTGAATGCCAAAGCGACGTCGTGGAGGTATCTCAGTGTTACGTTGGGTGTAGCTACGAAGGCCAATCACACGAAGACAAGTGGCGCGTTTTAACAGACTGTTTCCATTTTCACTGTTCTGAACTTTACCTTTACCTTGGTATAAATACAAAGCAGCAGAGGAGAATCACTCCTTGCGGGTTTTCCCATTTTGTGCCGCCTCTACCCTCTTCTTCTTCTTCTCTCTTCTAACCCTACAAACCCTAAGCTTATTGAGCTTTTTCATACTAGCGACTCACCTCTCTCCCCGACGCAAACCAGCTCTCCTGTATTAGAGAAATAGAATAAACAATTCTTTTTGTATTCTCTTTGTATTTAGTTAGTGTCCAATCCCCACGTACCCACTCCTCAACATCCCTGTAAACTCTCCCTCACTCTGTAACAAACTTCTCTGTAAATCTGTATAAAGTACAAACTGAATACAAGACAAAAGATCGCGTTTGATTGCCTTCACATTCTCTCTACTGAAATTCTTTTACTCTAATGTTGAGCAGAGCTAGCAACGATTAGCTAGTATCGATCCGATTTTCCTTCATCCTTCTTATTTCCTCTTCGGTTTGTCACACTCTGTTCTCCGTCAAGATGTCAGGCGGCTCCGAGGTTCTCAACACTGCTACCTCTGCAGAAATCCCTTCAATCGTCACGTTCAATCCTATCGCTCAGCTCCCCTTGAAGCTCACGCGCGACCAATTTCACTTCCTGACACTCACGGCTTGAGACTCTGCTTATGGGTCTTGATCTCGTTGGTTTCATCGATGGCGTTGTCGTCGCTCCTTCTCCCACGATCACGGTGGAGGAGTTCAATTTCTTTGTTGAAGCCATCTGTGCTCGAGGACCTGGTCTTGGCCTGGAGGATCTGGTCAATTCGCTCGTTGAATATAAAGTGGATCTCAAAGCACAACAGAAGACCTCTGCTCCTACTGCATTTTACTCTCACAGCGAGCGCCATGGAGGCAGCAGCTCTTTTTTCCCTCGCCCCCAGTGTGGGTCGTCATCTTTGCAAAACCAGCTCGGTTTCTTTTCAGCCCATTCTCCGCGGGCCTCTTCTCACCGTGATGATTTTCAGCGAGCCCAAAGCCCAATTTTGCATCAAGATTCTATTGGACCGCCCATAGCTGTTAAAATCGGGATTTTACTTAAAATCGGAATCGTAAAATCGTAGAATTTTAAGTACCATAAAGAACATAACATATAATAATATTAATAAGTTAAATCATCATCAATAACACAAAGAGACATAACATTTAAAATGATAATTCTCAACTTTCCTTTTACAGGAGATAATTCTCAAGATTAATGTTCCAAAATCACTATTTTAATTGTTATTTAATGTGTAACTCAAAATAATTCATGATGAACGGATAGAGCTCATGGGGTTTGGCTATTGTTTTCATGTTATGTCTAGGTAATTTAACTCAAAGTAATATTCTGACATCGTCTACTAAGTATGATTTAAAACTAAAAATAATTGAACTCCAATAAAATAAGTAATGCTAGTGGCTTGGTACAAATATATTCATTAATAAATTAATTAGTTAATCATTATGCTAATTTTTACATACTTCCAATATTAGGACAATTGTTTTACCAATAAGTTAAATGGGGCGAAGGGAAATGAATTAACCTAGCCCTAATTTTATTATTTTTAAAATTTTTTATGATAGAAAAAATATCTGAGAAGATCACCGTCATTGCCTTTCCGCCGAAACAGTTATGCTTCTTTTAAATTTGCTCAAACCACCTATTTTGTTCTCATACAATCAAAATTCCGATTTAATACGATTTTAACGATTTTAATCCCGATTTTAAACGATTTTAAGGTCCACCGATTATATAGTAAAATCAGGATCGGAATCCCTATGTAAAATCCTAAAATCCTACAATTTTACGATCAAAATTCCGATTTTAAATGCATTGAGACCGCCCACAACAACTTTTCCAATACTCGTCGGTAGCCCATTATTTGTCAATATTGCGATCGTCCAGGTCATTCCGTTCGTCGGTGTTTTAAGCTATTTTTCCAGGCTTGTCAAGTTTATCAGGCTTGTCAAACTCAGGCCCATCACACCATTGCTAGCCGTCCTCCTTCATCTAGCCTGTGGCTACTTGATTTTGTGTCTTCTCATCATGTCACCTCCGATTTACGGAATTTATCCCTCTATTCTGATTACAGTGGACCATATGAGATTCTTGTGGGCGATGGCACGGGTTTGAAATTAACACATATTGGATCTACTACATTGAATCCCTCGGCATCTTCTTTTGATTTACAAGATGTTTTACGTGCTTCTGCCATCAAGCGTAAACTTATCTCTATTGCCAAACTTTGTCATACTAATCCCATTTAGGTGGAATTTTTTGCTGATTGTTTTGTTGTGAAGGTTCTTCGCATGGGGGTGCCTAGTGATGTGGATAATGTTCGCCATGCTCTTGTCACCACTCGTACCACCTCTACATCTTGGCATGTGCGCCGTGATCATCTGTCCACTCACCAATCTTCTTCGTTCTCAATCTTTGCCAGTATAATCCTCTCTCCTCAGTAGTCATTGCAATTTTTGTCTTTCCAATAAGAGTCGCAAACTTCCCTTTGCAGTTTCTTCTCTATCCATCATCAGCCATTTGATTTATTGTACACGAATGTTGGGGACCAGCTCCGGACTCCTCCATTGATGGGTTTCGTTATTATTTAAGTATCGTTGACCATTTTTCCCGCTATACATGCTATTATCCCCTAATAAATAAATCTGATGTTCTTAACGTGCTTCTTGATTTTCGCAAGATGGTTGAAAATTATTTTTTCACCACCATTCGCTGAATTTACTCTGATGGTGGTGGTGAATTCCAAAAAATATGCTCTACTCTTGTCCATCATGGTATCAACCACCTCCTTACACCGCCTCATACTCCTAAGCATAATGGTCTTCGCCGAGCGCAAACATCGCCATCTTCTTGAAATGGGTATCACTCTTCTGCATCATGCTGTTCTCCCTACCAATTTTTGGTCCTTTGCCTTTTCCACCGTCGCCTATTCGATTAATCGCCTCCCATCTTCTGCATTGCGTGGGCCTGTCCCCTCCTCCGTCGATCCTCTTGCATCACACATATCGGCTACTGGGCCGCCATCCTCGCCTAGGCCCATGCCTGCTTCTTCTCTGTCTGCTGGGCCGCGCTTGTCCCCCCCATGGGCCGCCCACCTCCACTGCTCCAGGGCTTGAGACCTCCTCGCCCTTGCCTAGTGTTGTGCACCCAGCTGGGCCGCCGCCTCTGCTCCGCTCCCACCGAATGACAACCAGGGCCCAATCTGGTATTTACAGGCCCAAACGCCTATTTCAGGCTAATCTCACCACTCGGACCCCCCCCCCTCTTGAGCCCCATTCGGTGAAGGAAGCAATGCAATATTCTGAGTGGGACGCGGCTCTTCGCAAGGAACATTCGACCCTTCTTCGCAATCACACGTGGGATCTTGTTCCCCGACAGCCTCACTTTAATGTTCTCGGCAGCAAATGGGTCTATCGTATCAAGCCCCACTCTGATGGCTCTATCAACTTGTTCAAGTGTCGCCTGGTTGCCAAAGGCTTTCTTCAACACCCTAGTGTGGATTTTTAAGATACGTTCAGTCATGTCCTGTAGTGAAACCTGTTACTGTTCGTACAGTTTTCACTCTTGCTCTCTCTTAGAATTGGCTGATTAAGTAGTTTGACATCAATAACGCATTTCTCCTAGGGCCTCTAGATGATGAAGTTGATTTAGTTTGGACATCTCCATGTTCGCTACATTCCAACTACTCAACAGCTTTCTGACGCTCTCACGAAGCCATTGCCAGCTCCTCAGTTTCTTCTTCTTCGGACCAAGATTGGAGCCGTTGACACTACCTCCATCTTACGAGGGCATATTAGAGAAAAATAATAAACAATTCTTTTTGTATTCTCTTTGTATTTAGTTAGTGTCATATCCCCATGTACCCACTACTTAACATCCCAGTAAACTCTCCCTCACTCTATAACAAACTCCTCTCTAAATCTGTATAAAGTAAAAAGTGAATACAAGACAAAAGATCACATTTGATTGCCTTCACATTCTCTCTACTGAAATTCTTTTACTCTTATAGCCTGATCTCAATTATCTTCTCCTTCTTGACCTCCTCTTGTCACAACATACATGGTGGTGGTTGTTCATGCAAGAAGAAGGGGGAACAGAGGAGAGAAGCAAAGGAAAGGGAGAAGAGAAGAAAGCAGAGGAAAGACGTGTATATTGTGGTTTGGTGGGAGAATAGCAACGACGGAATGGATGGAGATGGAAGAAGATAGGGAGTTTAGGGATTGTGCGGGTGGGGAGAGATGGCCCGTGAATGATGTGCATTTTGTTATATTTTTTAATAAGTTCAATTTTTTCAAACGACCTCATTTTGCGAGGAAAATGGGTGCCATTTTTGTTTCAAAACGACATCGTTTTTGTGAGAAAACTAACCAATCCAAATTTTTAGTTAAAACTAGACATAACCGTATTGCATCCAATCCAGTTTAGTTAAAACCGGGTAACAATCCAATCCTATTTTCGGTCATAGGGTTGTCCAATATGGTTTGAAAAAATTGGATCAATTTGGTCCGGTTTAAATCAAACTGGACTGTTTCCCAGCCCTAATATCAATGCGTGTCACAAAAGTCAATTCGCACGAGCACAGAAAAGAAGGCCAGCCCGCAAATTCGCTTTTCCTTTTCCCTTTCTCGATACGCTGCTCCCTTTCTTAACACCACAAAGGTCGGTTTCCATTCTCGTATTGCTCACCACAAAAAAATGCTAAGAAGTGAAGCGAAGATCTCTACTGGTTGTTGCCACGATGGCTAATATGTAGGAGACACATTTTTTTAATTAGATTCTTAAAATGCTATTATGATTTTGTTTAGTTAGGAATTATTGAATTTGTTCTTTATGTAGTGATTTTAGACGATTTGAACTAATTGTTCGGTGGAAATCGGAAAAAGGAGAGAACAATTTGGGTGTCATTTTAGTTGGTGGTAGAAGTTTTCAGTTGATAGTTCCATGGAGGGTGACATATGATCAATTTTGTGAGAATCAAGTTCCGAGGATATGACATAATGACGAAACAATACAAGATAGTGATATGATCATAGGTTTCACTTACAAACTTTCAGAATGGCAGATTTCATTATGCATTCATATTGTGGACGATGATAGCTTGAATGTGCTCTTCAATTTTATTGTACAAAACCCTTATTGTTTGGGTGCTGAGATTAGTCAAGGTGAAGATGAGACATGGAGTGTGTCATTTGATCATGACTATGATGACGCGGAGGAGGAAGAGGAAGAGCCTAATGATCCTCCAGATTATTACTTGTATGGTAATGAAGAGGACGATGAATTATCATATGCTGATTCATATAGCGTAATCCCAATACCTATTGTTGCTGGTTTCGAAGGAGAATTCTACAAGGGGCATATATTTCACTCCAAACAAGTTGTACAGGTGGCCATTAAATATCACACGCTTTCAAGGATGAAAATTGTGCTCGGATGGTGCGATATGGATGTCGAGATGTTGGAAGCGAATGGACAGTGAGAAAGGCGGAGTTGATGCATTCTTGCAGCAGTACGGCTCAACCGACGAATCATCGTCATCTTGATGTCTGCGTTATATTTGAGTCCGTGAAGCATTTGATACGTGCCCAACCAAATCTGAGTGTTCTAATTGTGCAGTCCTAGTTGAAAGATAAGTTTCATATATATGGAAGTTACATACAAGAAGGCTTGGTATGGGAAACAAAGAGCATTAGAGAAGTTGCATGGAAATTGGTAAGAATCCTACAATTATTTACAAACATTCTTGCTGGTTGTAAAGAGAAAATGTCAACATTAGTGATTGATTGGGTAAGAATTCCTTCATCACAACCAGGTCATCTGATCTTTGAGGGAGTATTTTGGGCATTTGGAGCATTTATAGATGGATTCAAGAATTGTCCAAGAGTCATGGTTGTTAATGTAACATTTCTTACTGGAAAGTATAAAGGAGGGCTACTCATGGCAGGCTCATTTGATGGTTGGAAGAAGATTTTTCCAATTGTATTTGCCATAGTGGAGAATGACAATACTGATTGTTGGCCATGGTTCATAAGACACCTTCAAGGTTTGACTGATCGAAATGATGTCTGCATCATCTTAGATAGACATGCGGGACTCTATGAAGCCATGAGTGACATCGGAAGAGGTTGGGAGAGGAGGTGGTGCATGCGACACTATGCAAGCAACTTGCAAAGTAAGCCTAAAAGCAAGATTATGTATAATCAACTATTTTGAGTCAGTAAGCTTTCATTATTATGGTTATTTCTTGTTATGTATTATTAATTTTCATTTAATTTGTTCATGAATATATCTAACTCGTGTGTCTATTTATTGTGTTAGCCGAAGAAAAATGCTTGGAGAAGTTCGATCGTCAAGTTGAGCCATTTAAGAAGATGGTCACTAATAGACATGTTTCATGCGATAACTGGGTGGACCAAAATAAAATCCGTTGGAGCTTAGCATGTGATAACCATAATATCATGTTTCACTTCCTGTAGCTTCTCTTGTGCAACATACTTATTGGCGATTATTGGAGAAATTTGATAAGATGAGGTTGGAGATATAAGTACAAATCAGAAATGCTCATTCACAGTACACCAAGACATGCGAAGATCTTATGAAAAAGGTTGATCGACATTAGAGCATCCATGAAGAAGGTTGATCGACGTTAGAGCATCTATGTAGTGCAGACTCCTCCCAATAATGTCAACATGACTGGTTCAAACACACTCACAGTGTACTTCGACAACAATAATCGGACGGGGTTTTGCACTTGTGGGAAATACTAAGGAAATAAAATTTTTTGCTCTCATGTCATTGCAGCTTGCAACCGAATGGGGGCTAACCCGTACAGGTTTGTAAACAACATCTACAACCTTGAAAGAGTATTAGCTTGTTATGGGACAAGTTTCACACCTCTTGGTGAACCTAAGGGTTGGAAGAAACACAATGACCCTACACTTCATCCTAATGTGCACATGATTAGAAAGTCGGAGAGGCCACGATCAACAAGAATTTACAATAAGATGGATTGGCCAAGAGAGGATGTAGATCAACAAGTGTATAGAAACTTCAACCAATCTGAACATAAAAACCCTAGTAATAAATACTAGATATGCCCGCTCGCTGCGCTTCGCGTAGAGCGAGTAATGGAAAAGGTTACATGTGATTGTAAGAGAGAATAAACTAACTCGTAAATAACACAAACCCAAAAAAATACAGGTCTAGCTCTCATTTCATGAATAGAAGCATCTAAGCAGCTAAATAAGAATCGAGAGAACACATTTTGCAATAAAGTGAAGCAAACAATACAAAATGGACTCTTTGGCCAATGAATAGTTACCGATTGGGGAACAAACCAAATAAGAACTTCTAGTTAAATCAATTAATTAATGTGGTTCTCTTGTTCTATCGAATATCGATAAGGATTCAAAAATGGAAAATGGATCATTGAAACATACGGGATTGAAATATGCCTGATCCGAACACGCGTGGTTCTCTTGTTTTATCAATAAATATTGGCCCACTAGCTTGCGCTTCGCAGTGAGTTGAAAGTAACATCGTAACTGTGTTGTATGAAATATTTAACAAAATATAATTCATAAGGCAATTGCAATAGCAGCGAGAAAAAATCACAAAGATGTTATGAGAAAACTCTGTAGCAATTTGAACTCTGAACAATGAGGCTAAAGAAGTATTTTTTTTATTTGGAGATTGACTAATATTAATTAGAAAATTTATAAATAGATTTTGCGTTTATTTTAGCCTAACAATAAAAAAGGTAAACTCTTTGGATAGTCAAGTAAGATGGGGAAAAGAATATAATAAATCTACAAAATCAAAGGAAAAAAGACGAAGAACATAGTATTTAGTTTCGTTGGTTCCAAGACTACTTTCGTTCTTCTTGATTGGGGTGATATATTTTTATCGTTAACATCATTGACAAGCTAAAACACAACACCTAACAAAGGCCAAGTGTAACCAATGAAAGGGACTGCAGTATAGTGGCTCAAGTAATAAATATCGAATCCACAGGTCTCTAGAGTTACTATTACGCAGCTTCAGTTCATTATCTAGCAAACCAAATTAAGATGAAAGAACTCAAACTACTCTAGCAAACTACAGTTAAAGTTAATCTAATTACAGGTTGGGAACTCACTCAGGTATAATTCCCCCTAACCACTAGTCAGATTAATGATTGATGATTTCTAACTTGTTTCACTTTCATTCACAATGCGGAGAATCCTTGACTAGACCTTGAGTCTCGACAAAAGGAACAAGGCCCTCTTGAGTCAATTGCCTAGAGGGACGTATCCTTCTCTAGAACAACCGATCAAGGCGTTCTGAACTAGATTCCCTCTATCGAATGAGGTTCTCAATCAATACAAAGCAGTGAATCAACCCTCGACTAAAGCAATCGATCCACTACTATCAATCTATGGTGCTCTATTGACCTAATCAGGTATTCGCTCTCATAAGACCAAAGCATAATCAATAATCTCGACTAAAGCATAATTGAATCATGAAAACATGCATAGATTGAATATGAACTCAAGATTATCAAGTAGGAGTACTCATACAATCATCCAATCAAACAAACGTATGTAGGGTTCCTCAAAACCTAAGCGAAGGGAAGTTACTCCATAGAGAAGAGAGAGACTGCAGTAAGAATCTTCAGATGATCAGTCTTCAAGTCCGGGCTTGTTCCTCGAGCTTCCTAGTCGAAGAAATCTTCCAGTTCCACTCTTAGAATGCCCTCAAATCGCCCTCTCTCTCTTTGGTTCGTTCCTTGGGTGTTTGCGATCCAAAACCTAGCTCTCCCATCCTTTGGCTCGAAACTTGGTTAAAAACCCAAAATTCCTGACCACACGGCCGTGTGGCTTTCCCAGCTGCCCGTGTGAGTTGTGCAAAACGTGGCGTTTCGAAAAGTTGACTTCAACCATCCTACACGGCCACAACCACACGGCCGTGTGGATTTCCAGGCTGCCCGTGTGAGTTCCCTGGAATTTCCACACGGCCTCATGGGTTCCCTTACACGGTCGTGTGGGTTTTAGGCATGCCCGTGTGACTTCCTCAGCTTCTCGCCAAACGTCCGATCTTCGTCCAATCGACCTCGAACTTGTTCCTAAACCTTCATTCACGTACCAGGACCTGAAATATCACAAACAAGAACAACCTAGCATGAAATCGGCCTAAAACACGAGAAATAAGACTCAAACGTACAAGAATGGTGGACAAAAACATGTGTATATATCAAGTCATCAAATTCCCCCACATTTAACCGTTTGCTTGTCCCCAAGCAAACCTAACTCAAACCAATGCAACTCTCCAGACCTCTATAGCAACAAACAATCCCGATCGTCGGTAGAGGATTTTCTAGATCATAAAGCAACTTACGAGATCAACTGGTCTTCTAAGACGTCCCCTATCTCTCTCAATGCGAGTACTAGACTCAAACCAGGATCATGAGAAGAAGTAGAAGTAAGACAGTCAGTTCATGGATAAAGGGACTCACACCATTCACTTCATTTCACCATTGGAACCCCTTTCTCACTTTCATTTTACTTTTTTTTTCTTTTTTTTTTTCATTCACTTGGCGGGGGTTCCGACTGCAATCTTTTGCCCGGCCGACCCTTATTAGTCGAGCAAGAGCAATTTCTGTACATCTAGCGCTCGCTAGAGTACTTCTTTTAACTCCTTTTTCTCAACTCGTGTGGAGGGTCAATGAAATTAAGGGGGGTCAGAAGCTCTATCCGTGCCCTTAAAAACACATCCTCAAGTAGCCCAACCGTTCAACTGGTGGAAATTTTACTTGTACTAGAGACAAATTAGCTTCACCTTGTAGGCCTACCTCACCAAGGATCACTAAAATCCTTCCAAAACCCGATTTTGTGCAATGAACGGTGCCACACACGTTGAACTTACCCCATGTCTTAGAATTTCAAATTTTTGACATGGGGGACCAACTGCTTTTTCATTTCACACGTGAGCACCCTTTTTTCGACACACGAGCCCACAACACAACATAAGAGGAGTCATCAATACCACATGAATCAACGGTCCTAAATCCACTAGTTCACAAAATCAACCAGCACATCAGAGAGACGGATAAGAAAAATCTTATACTTCAACATCCTCCATAGTGCTACAACTACCTCCCTAGGTTGCATATCACCATAAAGACTGTCAATTCAAAGCATACTGAGCAGGATTTTGCAGGGAACAGTACTTGGAGCCCTCAAATTCAAAAATTTGGACAGTGGACTAGGCTCCAAGCACACAAACAGCCAAACATTCACCCGCATACATAATCGAACATCCCCCCACACTTAAGCACGACATTGTCCTCAATGAAGGAAAGATAAGGAGGGTAGAACGAAGTTACCAGATCAAGGTGAATGATGGTGGACGAGGCAGGCGGTGCATTCAAGGAGGAGAGATTAGTCGGAACACAAAAACCACACAAAATCTCACAAAGGTTGAGTTATTGACTCTAAAATCAAAGAACAAAACTGACTCAACCGAGGGGAAATAGAGAAAGAAATGCAAACCGACTGGTTGGGTTGCCTCCCAACAAGCGCTTCTTTCACGTGGTGAGCCGGAAGATGGCTCCTAAGTTTCAGTCCACCTCAAAACTTCCTTGAAGTTGAGGTTCTCGTCGAGGAGGTGGAGTCTCAAGTCACGAGCATGTGGTATGACAGGTGATGGAAGCTCGTGCACTTGATGCAGATAACGTCTCCACCCTCGAGACCTCTTCTTCTCTTCTCTCGTCTCATTGCCCCAAACCAGATATGACAACATCGATTGACCACCATCGCGTCCACCAAGAGGGACCGATGTCGAAGTGGCCTTGGTCTGGCAAAGAGACACTGCAAATGGGTCCTTGCTAAGTAGTTCCTCGAAGTTTGGGGGAGATATCACATGTAACTCATGGCCGATGCAGGCCTCTTCCACCTTAACTCCGTCCTTAGCCTGGACGCCAATTGCTTCTTCAACCTCCCTTCCTTCTTCATGTGGTATCATCCCTGGGAAATGATCAAGAACTCCTTCTGCTCCACTTTCGTCATCCTCCACAATTTCTTTCTGCACCTTTTCTTGCTCTTCTTCTTCCAGCATGGATTGGAGTGCAAGTCGCCAAGCAATTTCTTTGATGAGATCATCTTGCATCTCCTCACTCATGCCCGCCTCTTCAAAGCTAAGTGTGGGAGGTGAAAAGATGTGGTCGGCTACGACATGACATTCCTGATCATGATCATCACGGGTGCTCTTCGTGACAACTTCTGTGTGCTCCACAATTTCTTCGTAGCCTTCTTCTTCCTCCTCTTCTAGTATGGTAGTAGAAGGGTGATTTGGAGCAGGTTGTGTGTATGATCGCTCAAGATCATCGACGCTCTTTTTAATGCTCAGGAGGATCTCCTCCGTTTCACGATAGGCCTGGGTACGAAGATCCATCCTAGACCATGATCTCTCATTGTCTCGAGCAAACTGCTCCATGAGAAGCCTTAATTCATAGTTTGGATCTGGCTGTGGAGTGTAGCATGGCTCAGCAGAATGGCCCGTGAAGGCCGCCATGGGTAACTCCAGCTCCGATGGCCCTTCTGGTTGTGGGAGAAATTCTTCTTGATAATGAGGTTGTTCTTGATATGCTCAGGGGTCTGATTGTTCTCCGTGGTAAGGGGGTTGGTACTGGAACCCGAATCCATAGTCTTCTCCTCCTTGATTGCTCCAGGGAGTCTCGGGGTAATACCACTCGGATGGTGGTGGATACCCCCAATGGTTGGAGAAGCCATGAGGATCCATGATTCAGATCTGCACCAACAAAAACACCCAAGTGAAAAGCAAGGGTGGAAAAGAAAAGAAAAACGGTAAAGTAACAAACTTCTGCCTTTCCTAATAATCTAGAAATTCCCCGGCAACGGCGCCAAAAACTTGACACGCTAAAACACAACACCTAACAAAGGCCAAGTGTAACCAATGAAAGGAACTGCAGTATAGTGGCTCAAGTAATAAATATCGAATCCACGGGTCTCTAGAGTTACTATTACTCAGCTTTAGTTCATTATCTAGCAAACCATATTAAGATGAAAAAACTAAAACTACTCTAGCAAACTATAGTTAAAGTTAATCTAATTATAGGTTGGGAACTCCCTCAGGTATGATTCCCCCTAGCCACTAGTCAAATTAATGATTGATGATTTCTAACTTGTTTCACTTTCATTCACAATGCGGAGAATCCTTGACTAGACCTTGAGTCAATTGCCTAGAGGGATGTATCCTTCTCTAGAACAACCGATCAAGGCGTTCTGAACTAGATTACCTCTATCGAATGAGGTTCTCAATCGATACAAAGCAGTGAATCAACCCTCGACTAAAGCAATCGATCCACTACTATCAATCTATGGTGCTCTATTGACCTAATCAGGTATTCGCTCTCATAGGACCAAAGGAGATTCAATAATCTCGACTAAAGCAGAATTGAATCATGAAAACATGCATAGATTGAATATGAACTCAAGATTATCAAGTAGGAGTACTCATACAATCATCCAATCAAACAAACATATCTAGGGTTCCTCAAACCTAGGTGAAGGGAAGTTACTCCATAGAGAAGAGAGATACTGTAGTAAGAATCTTCAGATGATCAGTCTTCAAGTCCGGGCTTGTTCCTCGAGCTTCCTAGGCGAAGAAATCTTCCAGTTCCACTCTTAGAATGCCCTCAAATCGCCCTCTCTCTCTCTTTGGTTCGTTCCTTGGGTGTTTGGGATCCAAAACCCAGCTCTCCCATCCTTTGGCTCGAAATTGGGTTAAAAACCCAGAATTCCCGACCACACGGTCAGGCCACTCGGCCGTGTTGCTTTCCCAGCTGCCCGTGTAAGTTGTGCAAAACGCGGCGTTTCAAAAAGTGGACTTCATCCATCCTACACGACCACAACCACACGGCCGTGTGGATTTCCAAGCTGCCCGTGTGAGTTCCCTGGAATTTCCACACGGCCACATGGGTTCCCTTACACGGCCGTGTGGGTTTTAGGCATGCCCGTGTGACTTCCTCAACCGCTCGCCAAACGTTCGATCTCCGTCCAATCGACCCCGAACTCGTTCCTAAACCTTCATTCCCGTACTAGGACCTGAAATATCACAAACAAGAACAACCTAGCGTGAAATTGGCCTAAAACACGAGAAATAAGACTCAAACGGTACAAGAATGGTGGACAAAAACATGTGTATATATCGAGTCATCAATCATATAGGACCTCGAGCAGAGAGATGATTAAAAATGCAAAATCAAATACGAAAGCATGTCTCGGCCGAGAGGATGAGTAAGCATACAAAATCAAATACGAACAACAACATGATTTAAGAACAACAACCAAAAATATAAGAAATAGGGAGAGAAAAGAAATATGAAGAACATAAGTTGAAAAGTAAAAATAAAAAAAATTTGTCATGTCTTTTTAAAGGGTTAATATTTTCGTATGGCCTGAACTTTGACCATAATAAACATCCTGACCAATCTTTTCGATCTATAACATCCTGGCCCGAACTATACACCAAAATAAACAATTTGGCCAGATCCGACTTTTGACCGTTAACTTGGACGGTCAAATGCGTTGATCGTTAGTCAATGCGCCATGTCACTGCCAAGTCAGCATAAAATATTCAAAATAATTCACAATTTCCACACATTCCCCAATTTTAAATTATTATAAATTAAAAAAATCATCTAATACCTTAGTTAAACCAAAAACAAAAAACAAAAAAAATTAAATATTTATCAGATCTTCTGACTTGGCAGTGACGTGGCGGGTTGACCGTTAGTCAACGCGTTTGACCGTCCAAGTTAACGGTCAAACATCGGGTTTGGCCAAATTGTTTATTTTGGTGTATAATTCGGACCAGGATATTATAGATCGAAAAAATTGGCCAGGATGTTTATTTTGGTCAAAGTTCAGGCCATACGAAAATATTAACTTTTTTAAAAGGTTGCCATATGTCACTCTTGACAGATTGACCTTAAACTTTGTTAAAATTACCAAAAAAAAAACCTCATAATGAATAGTAGATGTTTAACCAAGGCTTTTGTTTAAGAACTTTTCGTCAATGGACTTTTTACTCTGTTGGTACTATGAAAGCAAATTGTGAAACAAATTCTAACTTTGTGTTTTTCTGTTTAAACAAAATTCTCCATTCGCCATGTTAGGCGGAAAGTATGGAGATGAGGGTGCTCTCTTACAGTTTGATCCGGGGTTTCACAAGTTGATAGTCCCTAGCTGAAAAATAGGCTTTGGCATCTATTTTCCCGAGACCCAAAAATCATAGAGGTAACAACAATAGGGGTAAGAAATAAACTATATGAACGAATGGCACTCCATCGACCTTGTTGCACTAATGCTCTGGCCGCAATTGGTCAATTCAAATGTCCTGAAGGTTTGAAGAAACTCGGGCTAACGAATCATTGGCTGACGAACTGGTCACCTGGTCTGGCTAAGTAATCCCTGCATTGCAGTTCGGATTTGATCTGAAATTGTCATGTATAGACATTTTTGAGCAGCTTCGTCCAGCTCATAACGGGTTAGTTTGGGCCATCCAAATGCAGGGAAGGACAAGCTGTGAGACATAGAAGTGGCCGTTCTGCTCAGCTTTGCAATGTCGAACTCAATCGGCTCACCCACGATTATGTCGATGTTCTTATTGCGCAAGGGGAAACGAGGCCTCCTTCCAGATCGGTAGTTCTCAGGCATAACCTGTTGAGATACCAGCAGACATTAGACATGGAACACAGAACGCACAAAGAAAGGATGAGTTGGATTCCAACAAACTTCAGGATTCCAAATTTTGGTTTGACCCTGGATGGCAAGGCTGCAATCCGAGAATGGATTGTACTAGATTGTGTCTCCCACAAGCATAAACAAGGTATTCATACCGAAACAGATGAGAGCTGCTACAGCATTCTTGCACTTTGACAATTAACATTTAGACAGCAGAAATAAGCATTCCTACTGAAATTTTAATAGGTTACCTCTTGGAATCCACGATGAACAATTGGTAGTACTATTGGTGTAACAGGGGCTCGAACAATGAGACTGGCAGTTCCCCATTTCAACCGCCTTATAGGTGCAATTTCTTGATTGACCTTCCCCTCCGGAAATGTGTGCAGCTGTTAATGACATGCTTATTTGTCATTTACAAATCAAAAGAAACATATTTATCTCTGCTATTGGAATCATTGCGTTGCAGGAATTGGAGCAAAATGCTTGAGAATAGCGTTGTCAGCATAATTGAAAGCTTCAAAACCTAGCAGCATCAGTGCTATCAAGGTGATTATGGTTGTTAGAGAATACATATCAACACTGCCACTGCATACCCACTTAGCCAGCAAACCTTTTATTAGGATTTCAACCATAATCTTGCAGGTGAATACACATAATTTAAGACAACAAACCATGCAAAGGGAACATACGGTGAATCTTAAAATGAAATGAAGATGTTTCATAAATCTCACTTGATCTTTACACAAAACCAGACACAGAGAAACATACAACTACAAAGCCTCTAAGCGAAACTGACTGTGCCATAATCAGTTTATATATAATTTGTTGTTGTTTTATAAGATGGTGACTTGGAAATAAACGCAGCTAGAAGATTATGCTCAGACATGAAGAAGAAAAATGAAGGGTGAAACACATAAATTACCCATTCACCATTGCTCAAGCGCTGAAGAGCTTCACTCATGTGGTCTTGGTAAATTCCTGCACCCCTAGTAATGGGAATACATTTCCCTGCAGTACGTAGATATTAGAAGTACTCAAGCCATGAATGTAAAACAAGTCAGTAAACATTTCAGTTCATATAACCGAGTGGCAGATCAGCAAAGCAGCACCTTGGCGAAAGAAGTAGGAATACAACGAATTCCTGAAACAAATGTCTTCAGCTGCTAGTACCCATCGAGCCAATTTTGAATTTGTGATTGGAAATCCCTTGAATCCCCACAGCAAAGGATCATCTAACCTGAATACAAATAACAAGGTCAATTCACAAGCATAATGCAAAGTGATGTCAAATACAGTACCAGAGCAGAACACAGGTCAAAGATTTTGTTACGTCGACATATGGTTGCTAACGGTGATGAGTGGTACACCAGGTGGCCGAGAGCGAACCAGACGAAGCAGCGTGTCCGCATTACGGACTGAGGTATTGTTCAAAAGAGTTGTCACTGCCTTAGCAAAGGCACCAACCATCAGAATCACTGCCTTCCTTGGAATCCCAGCCATTTGTTGTTATCTGCTTGCACCCATTCCCATTTTTGGTGTTCACCTCATTGCTATATCACTAGATTTACTGCAACAAAAGCTAAACCAGCATGAGGTCCCTCTCTCATCCAAAGAGTAATATTTCAGCATCGACAATGGACAAAATCACATCGGGCGGGACCATTATCTATTCAGAGCTCATAGAATTCAGGCAAACCCATGGTACCAAACGAACACAATTGCATTTCCACAATGTTAATACCATTGAATCATGGAAACAACTCACCGACGGACAAAGACGGTTAACGATTGTGGTTTCTTCAATCCTAGGCTGCCCTTTTCTTATTCTGCCCGGAACATGTTCGACGATTTGCCCAGCTGATATAGTCCCCTTCAGCTGCTGAAGAATGACAACTAAGCTCCGCTCCAGAGGACCTATGAGTACCTGAAATACAGATAACACATGAGATCGAGTATATCTGCTTTCCTCTGCAAACTAATTGGCTACAAACCCAAACTCTAGACCGGGAAACTTGAGAGCCAATGCCTTAACTCTAGCAGAAGGTTTTTACCAAGAAAACGCAGGTGCTCCTGGTTCTTTTGGCACGGTGATCGAAAGCAACAAAGGCAGTCAGAGCAAAACAGCAGGGCGGCGTGGAGACGGCGGCCAGCAGAATTGACGATCGAGCGAGCGAGCTGACGGTTCCCGCCGTGCAGCCCAAGTAGCTTTACGTCCTCACTGGCCCATTTCGAATTTGGATGTTTGATAATGGAGCTACCAAACGGTGTTCTTCGGCCATGTGGCCCTAGATTTGTTCAATGGTAAAATAAGTCTATTACGTACCATTTGTTACTAAATGAATGGCTCCGGATAGTATAACAACACCTTAAGTGTTGTTAGTATAACAACAAGAGTATAAGGGTAAATTGCACAAAATATTAATTAATAAGTTGTTTTCTTTTACCTGGTATTAAATTTGAAATTCGAAATTAATAATAAAAATTCATTGAAGCGCGTGATTCTGTCATTTCCGTTTTCCGCTTTCCCCTCTGCTCACGAACTGCTCTCCGACGTCTCCTTCGGTTGCTCTCTCCCTGTTCTCGCTAATTTTCCATCTGCATCGAGCGATTCCGTCTGCGGCTTGTGGATTTCCTTCGCGCGATTCCGTTTCCTCCGTCGTCGAAGTAAATTTCGAGGTATGCCGGTGATTTCCTCCGCTAAACTGTCTTCTCCTCTATCGTCAGTTTTGGCCTCCAAAGTCGCCGTTGTCGTTTGGCGTCGCCGGAGTTCCACTTGTATGGTGTTAGTTTGGCGTCGCCGTTGTCGTTTTCGTTAGCATTGTCGTTGCTTGCTGCTGCTATTGAATTTATAACTGTCATTTTCATGTTTGCTCTCTTTTACTTTCGTTTTCCACTTTTCTGCGATGTTTTGACGCATCCAGTCTAAATTTGTTGTAGGAGACGAGGAAATTTCATACTTATGCGTTCTGGTTAGGTTTTGTTGAATGTTTTAGGGTTTCTGTGGTGTGCTTTGCATGTTTTAGAGTTTCTGATTTCTCATGAGTCATTTGTGGTGGTGTTCAGTAGTTCTGTTGTTTTGTTCTTATTTTTGGTGGTGTGCTTTGTGTTTGGTGACAGTTAGGATGTTTGTGTGTTCGATTGGGACCTTTCTAGAGGTTTTTAATAAAACTATTGTGTATTTCCAGACTGCTGTTGGTGATTCTTTTAAAAGGTGTTGTGGCTTGTGTTTCGGATTTCACAGTTTGGTTTAGAAGATTAACTGGTGTGCATTTGCAATTGTTGTTTGTCTCCTTTACATCTGATTATTGAGTCGTTTGTGGTGGTGTTCAGTAGTTCTGTTGGTGCACTTTGTGTTTGGTGACATTTAGGGTGTTTGTGGGTTTGATTGGGGCCTTTGTGTAATTTTTTAATACAACTATGGTGTATTTCCAGGGTGTTGGTGGTTCATTTGCAGTTGTTGTTTGTCTGCTTTAAATTTGATTATTGGATTGTTTTCATGGTTGTACAGTTTGCAGTAGGCCCTTGATGGTTTGCATTTTATATGTTCTTGTATTAGATTGCTTATGTTGGTTTGTGTTTTGGTTGCTTTGTAGGCATGGCACCTAGTAAGAAACGTGCAGTAAAGGGGAAACAAAAGGAAAAAAGTTCCAACACCTAAGCGAGAGAAAGATGGTGTTTCTCCTATGCCTGGAAAGCCGGATAAGAGGCATCGTAGTAATACTAATCGTATTCTTGCCATCATGGATGCTGACAGTACAACCGAAGAAAAACTGCAGATGCTTGATCATCTGGGTTTTAGGGGTGTGTCGAGGGTTAAGCTTACGAGACTCCCGGATAATTTTACTGAATGGCTTTGCAAAAGTTTTGATGTCAGTTCAAGGTCTTTCCCACTGCTTCGGTCAGGGAAGTTTAGAATTGGAGAGGCAGATGTGGAGAGAGTCTCTATTTTGCCGCGTGAACCGTATGCTGTTAAGCTGGATATGTTCAGTGCAGCCCAGAGGCACAAGTGGGGAATTGAGTTAGGGCTTTCCAATACTATGAAAGGAAAGGCGACATTGGCGAACGTTAAACTGGTATTGAAAGAGGAGAAGGACAATAAGAAGTGGAGGGATCTTTTTGTGCTGTATGCAATGGAGGCAGTTCTGTGCCCCAGTGAAAATTTGAAGATTAACCTCTCCTATGCTGGGTTTTTGCAAGATGAAATGGTCGCTGACTTCAACCAATATAATTGGTGTAAGCATGTGGCTGACCATTTCAATGAAAGTATGGTTGAAGTGGTTCAATCAAAATCAAAGTTCCCTGGTGACGTTCATCTTCTTTTTGTAAATAGATAAATATACCTTTTTTCGAAGTTTGGTTTAATGTTTCATTTATGGTTTGTTTATTGACGAATGTGGTGTGGTTGAAGATGTTTATGGTTTGTTTAAGAATATTTATGGTTTGCTTTTCCCCCCTTTGGTATAATGTTTCTGGTATAGTTTATCATTTATGGTTTGTTTATTGATGAATATGGTGTGATTGAAGATGTTTATGATTTGTTTAAAGATATTTATGGTTTGGTTTTTTCCCCCTGTTATAATGTTTCTGCAGTTTATCATTTATGGTTTGTTTATTGACGAATGTGGTGTGCTTGAAGATGTTTATGGTTTGTTTAAAAATATTTATGGTTTGGTTTTCCCCCCTGTTATAATTTTCCTGGTATAGTTTATCATTTATGTGGTGTGTATTATAATCTTTCTGGCACAGTTTGTTTGTGGTTGCTTGACTTCTGTCTGTTTGTATATGTGGCAGATTTCGATTCTTGACCGTTTGAAGAACCCCCCTGAGCTGCCCATACCGACCTGTAGGCACAGGTCGTACAAAGTCGCAAGTGCTGCTTTTCAAGTACTGATGGACGAAGGTCATCTCTTTATTGGTCATCGAGATGTAGTGGCGGAAGAACAAGCAACCTCCAGTCAACCAATGGGACGAGGACGTGTGAAGGGTACAAAGAGGAAAAGGCCGGTAGATGATCTTGATATGGAGAGGGAAAGGGATCTTCCGAAGCTTCCCTATCTTGACATCAACTTGGATGGTATTCATTCGGTTGAAGAAGTGATTATTTTTGCTGTGTTATTCCTTTTATGGCTTTCTTTAGCATACTTTCAGTGTGCTTTAAAAGGATAGTGGTTTGCATTAGTTTGTTTACGGAATACTTTATTTTATTCATGTGTTGGTTAGTTGTGTTTTCTGTTGTTTGTTCTTTGGCTTGCTTTAGTTTACTTGTGGTTTCTGTTAAAAGAATAGTGGTTTGCATTACTTCGTTAAAGGAATACTTTATGGTACTCATCGTTTGGTAGGTGTTTTTTTGTGAGAATTCAAACATATGTGGTTTGTATACGTGTGTCTTAGGTGTTCATTAAAAGGAGTGTGAGATTCTTTAGAAGATTTATGGTTGCTTTTGGGCTGTTTTCGTGTTTTTGTAGGCATATCAGTTGAAGATTGACACTGAAAGTTATAAGAGGGCTTTGTTGAGGATGGCTACTCATTACAATTCGAGCATTGAATAAGTTGATGAGCATATAAAGATGTTGGAGGGGCAGCAACCAGAGGATAGTCTTGAAGATTATGTCGATTTTAGTGATAGTGTTGAGGATGTTGCTGTTGGTAAGGGAACCAATGATGTCGGTCGCAATGCAGATGCTGCCAATGCTAATGATGAGACTGGTGCTAACAGAGTATCAGATCCAAAGTCCCCGGGTCTTGATGATTTGTCAATGGAGATGGATAAGGATGGTGCTTGTACTGCTGATGGTGTGTCGCCAAATGTTGGTCACAATGATCCTGTTGGCACTGCTAATGATGATAACTCTGCTAAGGGAGTATCAATCCAAAGGGGCTTGATGATCATCTTGATAATCTGACAATGGAGATGACACAAAAAAGTGTTGATTCTGAGAATGCTAAGAAGGTGATGGAGATGGATAGCTGTGAGGAAAAGGGACAAGGTGATGATGGAGATGACAATGTTGACGGTGTTGACGCTGCTAAGTTGGATAACTTGGTTGAGAAGGTCATAAAGGTATTTTTACTGTTTTGTGTTTGAATATTTGTGGTGTGGATTATACTGTTTTTGGTTTGTTTGTCATGTCTTTTGTAGTAGGTTGTTTTGCATTTGTTAGTAGTGTGGTTTACATATATCTTGTTTTGTTAAAAACTTTTGTTGTGTGGTTTCTGTAGTCTGCTATGGGGGATGTTCGTGAAGATGTGGTGGTTGATGCCAAAAGGAAAGAAGCTGATGTCGGTGAGGTGCTTGAGAGTGGTGATGATAGTGTAGATTTACCATTGAGTCAGCTAGTTGAGAATGTTGGGAAGGGAAAGGTAATTTGTTTTACAATGTTTCAGTTTTGGTTTGTTTTTGTAGTGTGGTTTTATCGCATTTGTGGTTTGTGTTAGTTGTTTTTTGTACTGTTTTATCTAATTTGTGGGTTGCTTTAAAAATTAGAAAAAATAGAAAGTAAAGAATGCAGGAGGCTCATCAGGTGTCGATGATGATCTGTTGAAGCGTGATGTGTTGCGATATGCAAGAGATTCGAATAACTTGTAAGTTAACGTGTATAGATTTCATACATATGCGGTTGTTTCTATATATTTTTATATGTAGTGCTTATTAGTACTTTTCTAATGCCGACTGTTTTGTTTGTTATGGAATTATGAAAAATAGGAAGGAACTCCTTTTCAGTCGTGTTGATGGATACGATTGCTTGTATAGAAAGGACACAGAGACTTTGGCACATGGGCAATGCGTGAGTATGGATGTTGTTGACTGCTATGGTGCCTATCTGAATCAGGAGCAAGGGAGAAGAGGGCAGCTGAAAAGATGGGTGTTCTATTCAGGGTTGGCGATGAGTTACATTTTCTGCTAGTTCTGGTTTGTTTTAGGGTTTTTATGGTGTGCATTATAATACGTCTGGTTTGGTTTAAGGTTTCTGTGTTGTGCATTATAATACGTCTGGTTTGTTTTAGGGTTTTTGTGGTGTGTATTATAATACGTCTGGTTTGTTTTAGGGTTTTTGTGGTGTGCATTATAATACGTCTGGTTTGTTTTACTGTGTTTATGTTGTGTTCTACCTTGTAGCAAAAAGTGCAAACGATAGTGAAAGAGTCTGGACCACTGCTGAACTTTTTTGAAGAGACTGACAAAATCATTACAAGTTGCAAGTGGATACCAGATGGTGTGGACTTCTCACAATGCGATTATGTATGTATTTTTTTTAGTCACATTTGCTACATTGTTTCATGTGTTTTTTTTCTTCATTGTGCTTTTGAAGTACTGACTTGTTTTTGTTCTGTACTATGCAGTGGATGTTCCCCCACTGTTCTGATGGACACTACAGGATGTATGCAGTGAATCTGAAGAACAAACGGTATGATTATCTTGAGAGCCTTTACCCTGACGAACTTGATTCCAAGTTTCGTGCTGTTGCGGATATGGTGGTCCGCTATGCCACAGAATACATTCCTGCCTGTAGACAAGAGCCCTTCAAATTTGAAGAATTCAAGTGGGTTAGAATGCGAGGGGTGAGACAACATGGTGGGGTTGACTGTGGTGTTTTTGTTATGAATTTTGCTGAGTTTTGGGAAGGGAAATTGGTGCCAGCTATGAGGAAGTGGCAAAAACAAATCAAGCAAAGGCGGGACGAGATCACATTAACATTGCTGTTAAACGAGGAGAACAGTTTACTTAAACAGCTGAAGAAGAAGAGTTTGGAGTTTGATCGCAAGGTGGACTAGCTGATTTTAGCATGCATTTGCAAGAACAGTTTCAGATTTCAGTGTGTTAATATGTGTTTTAGTGTGTTAATGGTGTTGATTAAGGCTTTTGTGTTCAGTATCTGAAGTGTTGTGGGTTGATTAAGAAGAATTGTGTTCTTCGTGTATGGTGTGTATTATAAGACAAGTGGATTGTTTAACGGGTATTGTAGTGTGGTTCATAAGGTTTATAGTTTGGTTCTTTTTCCCGGGGTTATACAATGTATAGTTTGTGTTAGTACATATGTGGTTTGCTTAATGAATGTTCTGGAAAGTTTCCATATGTTTGTGGTTTGGTTTTGTTAAGAGGTTTCGTAGTCTGTTTTCTTCCTGTATGGTGTGTATTATAAGACAAGTGGATTGTTTAACGGGTATTGTAGTGTGGTTCATAAGGTTTATAGTTTGTTTCTTTTCCCCAGGGTTATACAATGTATGGTGTGTGTTAGTACATATGTAGTTTGTTTTGCTGCATCTTTGTTATTGTTTGATCAAATATTATCAAAACCTGGAACTGTTCATATTTGTCTCATAGTTGTCATTGAAATCTAAAAGTTTATGACAGATAAAAAAAACATGGATAACAACAAGGAGACTAATCACTCATTGTTGCTTTTGTAACGCTTGTTGGCAGCCTGTTCATCAATTCTTTGCTTTCTAGCCCTCTCCGGCGCTACCTCAAGTCCACCTCTTGGCCTCTTCTTTGATTTCCATGGGTCTTGTTAAGCCTTGAATCCCTTCACATTGGCATACTTGTCATTTGTAGCTGAAGCAGCAGTGCTTTGTGAGGGTGATGTACTGGTGGTTCCAACTGTTGAAAAAGCAATATGCAAGATACTGGTGAACATAAGTAGGGATTAAGCAATAAGTGTATTGGATTAAGATGTTTATGATTTGCATTAGATCATTAGTGGCTTAGATTAAGCAATTAATGGTGAATATAAGTAGGGATGCTAACAAGATGTGTGAAATTACCAGGTACTGTTTGCTGAGTTTCTTGAGTTTGAAGGCTTTGGAAAGCTAGTTTAGTGAGCTCTGCAATCTTTTCCTTAACCATTAAGAAGACCTTATCATTCATTGAGACTTTTGTTGCTAGGATAACCATGCTAGCACACAGTTCTTGATACCTCCCTGCATAAGTATCTGTTGCAGCACATTCTGTTGTGTTTATTGTGAACTTTTCTCCAGATTTGGCATCTCTCGTCCATCGTGGCAGAATGTATTCCTTAGGGATAGTCAAATTCTCAATATAAAACCATTGAATCCAACCATCTCTATCTGCCTGATTACATGTCTGCACAACCAGCCTGAACTTTCAAACAAACAACATGAGCACTTGTATTTCTTCTCCTCTTTGTTCACGAACACGACTCTTTTGTCGAATCCTCCCAGTTTCTTCACTTCATAAGCTGTCATTCCATCTCTATCCATAGATTCATTCCGGAACACACACAAAAAAAGCAAGGCTTTCTGAATACTCCTCAAGGAAAGAACTGTAGATCTTAGTTGTGTATAATTTTGCGACTTGCTGAACAAGTGGGCTTCTGTCATACCTGTTGGAAGATGACATACAACATACAATCATTCATAAGCATCTTGTCTACATTAATGATTTTATTATATGTATTGTACTGTTTGTGGTGCGGATTATGGGATTTATGGGTTATTTTAAGTCGTGTGTGGTGTGGATTGTGGAGTTCATGGGTTGTTGCTCGTGCGGTGTGCATTATGGTGTTTATGGGTTGTATTATGTGGTATGTGGTGTGGATTGTAGGGGTTTTGGGTTGGTTTAGGTGGTATCTGTTTGTATTCAACTGTTCTGGTAGGGTTTTATATCAATTGTGGGGTGTTTGCTGCTGTTTTTTTTTTGGACAAGGAGACTTGTGGATGCATTCTATAGTATAAAAAGTTCAAATAAAGGAAGTAATACGTACATGTTGTTTGGGACTATGTTTTCCATTTGATAATCCATGTCCATTTCGTCTGATCTTTTCCGTTCGACCAACTTGTTGAAGTATGTGAAGAACTCAACTAGGTTGTCATCTGGTTGAAGGTAGTTTCGGAGGTTGCTGTTACAAGACTCACTCAGCTGTGAGCTTTGCATACCAGCTGTGAAGTGGTCCTTAATCCATGCTGAACACCACTGTTTCCTCACCTTGTAAATTGAATCCAACCAGTTCCTTGGATTGGTGCCTTCTTCTGGATAATATGTGTCTAGCAACCTTGACCAATTGTACTCAAATTCTTCCTCATTTTCTACTCCAAAAGTGACATATTTCAGATCTTCTAGAATGTTTGTGTTTGTGGTGTCGAGATGCTTCATTGCATTATGCTTGATATGAAAAGTACACAAGCCATGGAATGCTTCAGGAGTGACGGATCTAATCCAAGCGATGATTGCAGCAGCTTGGTCGGTGAATATTGATGTTGGTTGGGTGCCTGACATACATTTCAAGAATGCATCGAACAACTACTTGAATGTAGCGGTTGTTTCATCATATAGGAGAGCAGCCCCGAAGATGCAGAGTGCGCGATGGTGGTTGAAGCCAATAAACAAAGCTGTAATTTAAAAACAAAAAAAAAGAACAACATAGAATTAAACATTGAAACAAACAAAGACTGTCTTTTATGATATATATGGTGTGTTTCAGGACGTGTTTAGTGTGGTTTAGGAGGTTTCTGGTTAGGATTCTCAAAATGAATGTTTCATGTTTTTTTTGTCGTTTGTTTTAAGAGTCTTTGGGGTGGTTTTATGTTACTTATGGTATGCATTGTGTAATGTTTGATATGCATTCAACTTTGAAATATCAAGAAAATTAACTAGTGCAAGGAATACTTCTTAATACAAACCACAAACCTTCTAATGCATATCATAAATATCCTAAAACAAACCACAAACCCCACAAAGCAAACCACAACATTTGCGGAAGCAGACCAGAACCTCTTAATGTAAACCACAAACCTCACAAAGCAAACCACAACATTTGCGAAAGCACAGCAGAAACCTCCTAATGCATTGTGTAATGTTTGGTATGCATTCAACTTCGAAATCTCAAGAAAATTAACTAGTGCAAGGAATACTGACCTAGTGGACGATAATTCTGGTTTGTCCTGTATGTGGTGTCGAAGCTGATCGTATCTCCAAAGAAACTGTAGTCAAACCGCATTCTTGCATCATCCCAGAATATACTTGCAATATCTTCGTTACTATCTACCTCAATTTCATAGAAGAATGATGGATTCTTGTAAGCTTCCTGGCGAAAATGTTCAAGAAGTATAGTTGCTTCGCCTGGTTTCATTGATTTCTGCCTTGTCCCTGTGATATAGTTCTTCAGATCATGAGGGGTTAAAGGTACATTCACCCTCCCCCCTGAAGTTGTGGTGAACAACTCATATGATTTCCGTAGTGAAACTCCACAATCTGCATGCACTTGTGCGACCATTGCATGCATTTCTGAGATCCCCCTGTTTGACCTCAATAGATGTTTGAATTTTGGAGGGAGGAGATCATGGTTGTGTTCTGTTATTCACTTGTCCAGCAACCATTCATCCTTCTTGATATCATATCTAAATTTTATTATAGCTGGGCAGCCAACTCTAGTTTCTGGTACAGCACGTTGATAAGCCTTGACATCGATTGATCCTTTATTCTTGGGATTTGACTTGCTTGTGGTCTGTATCCTTCTTTGATGCAGCAATACCTAGCATATCGTGTTGTTTTGGTTGGCTGTCTTTTTGTGGAACGTTTGACAGCTCCCATGTCCCTCACGCTGAAGCCAAGATCGCGAGCATAGTTCTTGTAGAATTGTTTTGTTTCCTCAATGGTTTTGAATGCCAACCCCAAACTAGTGTAGTCTGACTCGGACCTGTTTGATGTCACACCTATAAGCAATGATGAAAGAAATGAGCACTTGATCATTTCATCTTGCGATAATATTTACTAGAAAAGTGAAAAGTGGTTTGCATTGTTGTTATTCATGATGCTTTTATGACATTTATGGTTTGCATTACAGTGTATGTTTTTTTTTACAAACATATTGCGGAATGTAACGATTTAGGTTTTAATGGTGTGTATTGGAGGTGTTTTGGTGCGTTTAAGAAGTTTTGTGGTTTGGTTTTTAAGTGTTTCGGTTGATTGTCTTTTTTCCTGTAGTTTGTTTTGGGAAGAATGTGGTGTGTTTGGCGATGCTTTTGGTATCATTTGTGGGATTTTTATGGGCGGTTTGATCATTTCATCTTGCAATGATATTTGCTAGAAAAGTGAAAAGTGGTTTGCATTGTAGTTATTCATGATGCTTTTATGACATTTATGGTTTGCATTACAGTGTGATTTTTTTTACAAACAGATTGCGGAATGTAACGATTTAGGTTTTAATGGTATGCATTGGAGGTGTTTTGGTGCGTTTAAGAAGTTTTGTTGTTTGGTTTTTAAGTGTTTTGGTTGATTGTCTCTTTTTTTCCTGTAGTTTGTTTTGGGAAGAATGTGGTGTGTTTGGCGATGCTTTTGGTATCGTTTGTGGGATTTTTGTGGGCGGTTTGATTGGTAGTGCTTATGATATGGTAAATGGCTTGTATAAGCATGATTGTGGTGCTCATTGTAAGAAAACAAGAAGGATTGAGTTGAGCGTACCTTCTTCTTGTTCATTGTTGCCACTATTGGTGGAAATAGAGGTTTCTAGCTGATATCCGCCTTCTATTGCATTGCCAGAAGATGTTGCAATTTGCAGGAGTTGTTGAGCATCTACGGAACCAACAGAAACTTCATCTACACGATTCTCGTCCATCGTCAATGTCTTAGCTGCGTCAGGAGATTGCTCCGTTGTCGCCGCCGTTGCGATAGCTGCTAGGATCAGATCTCGTCCCCGCTGTTGTGGTAGCTGCTGCGATCAGGATCTCGTCGCCGCCGTTGCGGTAGCTGCTGCGATCACGATCTCGTCGCCGTTGCGGTAGCTGCTGCGATCACGATCTCGTCGCCGTTGCGGTAGCTGCTGCGATCAGGATTTCGTCGCCGTCGTTCAGCCTCGGCGCCGCGCGATTGGAGAGAGAATAAAGTCGGGAGAGAGAAACGAGATGCAATTTTTAGGACAAAAGGAGCTGCAATGTTTCGGTAGGACAAAAATACCCTTCCTTTGTTTTTTACCCTAGTCAACGCATGAATTTCAAAAGTATGCAGAATGGTGGGTTCCTATTGGTCCACCTATGTTGTTGTTACAATAACAACAAATATGGTGTTGTCACCATATCCGCTCCCTCAATGAATCTAGAATTCATTACAATGAATTCTTGTGTTTTGTATGTAATATTCAAATTTAAGAAATAAAATGAAATGAATTCCCAAACCATGCTTGTCGCACGTTTGTAATTGAATTGAATTAAAATTTTCAACTAAGCCCTTATTAATTTTTGCTAGAAACAATATTCATTGAAAATTCATCTTCTTAAAAAATGCTTTTGGTCCCATACGTAGAATATCAAAGTGTTCTTGTGTGTTTCTATTCTATTCATTAGTTCTTTCGATATTTTGTCAATGAACCCTACACTCTAGTTGTGGCTTCTCAGCATACTGATATAATCAAAGCATAAATATCAAATAACCAAAATATGCTACTAGCGCTGCAATCAAATTCTTGTCGACGTTCCTCATACTGCATGAACCGGCGTCTAATAATACATGTATAATCAGTTTAGTTAATAAATGAGGATAATTATGTAATTTTGTTACAATTAGTAAATTATTGTGGAATTCATTTGGAAATTCCATCTCAATTCCACGGAATTTCTATAACTAGCTCCAATTCCGTAGAATTCAAAATTTAGAATTGGAAATGAATTCTTTTAAATACCAAACAGAAAAAGATTTCATTTCAAAATGAATTCTTTAAAACTTATGGAATTCATTTATACCAAACGGTTTGTTAGTTTATTTTAGCGATGTTATACATCTCTATTTTACTATAGAAAATCCGGTTAAGAATTCATATATTGTGATCGTTACCAATGTTTTAGAAATCGTATCATATCGATTCGTCTAATCAGAAATATCGGATATCGGACACAAATTGGTACGCAAATTTAACAGTAGAAAACTGTATTTTTTTCCGATGAATGATTGTGGTATATTTCATCTGGAAAAAAACAGCCACTGGTAACAAGCTTACCAACTAGCCATAACAGGAAGTCAGGAACAATGCAAGAAGCTATATAATCAAAATATTAACAACCTCTAACAAAGAAGAAATAGACAAGCTACTCCTGCCAAACCTCAACAGCCTCTGCTTGCCCAACAAGAGTCCTCACTTCAAACTTGATCTGCATAATGATCCAATCGGCTCCTCTGTTTGTGCCTTTTATTCCCTCTCCTTTAGAGTCAAGTGGCTTTCGCTCTTCAAAGATTAGAAGCAGTTCGCGTGAGATTGCCTTTTGATTTACCAGAAAAAGAACCCTAGAGAGAGTGACGAAGCAAAACCCAAGGGCAAGGATTGGAGCGATCTGAAGACCTCAGAGCTCGATTCCCCGACCTAGGAGTACCGATTAGCCGCCAGGAGTAGTTTTCCATTGTCGTTCTGATGATGTCTACTCTGAGCATGACGTTCTCACATCTCTCCATGGAGTAATTTTCAATTTCACCTAGGTATGAAGAATCATAGTTGTGTATGTTAGGAATGATTGTATGAACCCCATGTTATGAATGATTGAATTGATAAATTCAGTGAGGAATTATTCAGAGTTGCACGAGTCCTGATCAAACCTGTGTAATTCCGGATTTAACCTAGAACGATAGTCTCTGCATAGGTTAAAAGAGCATCTTTTAATTGAAAGTGGTGAATCGACTGCTTTAGTCGAGAAGTCGATTCACAGCTTCGTACTGGAGTAAAGGCCAGTAGAGGAAGTTTCGCGTGTTTAACGTTGGTTAGTGTATGCTGCTGGAGGTTAGTCGCCCGCCGGGTATTCGAACCAAGAGGGTCTGGATAACTTTAGTCAAGATTCCAAACATGTAAAGAACTTTCTGCGGTTTATCTATCAATCTGAGTAATTTGGGATCGTATAACCTGAACTAGCTGCACACGAGGGGGAACCATATCCGGATGACCTTTTGAACCTGAAAAGAACCACACCATTACTTACTTTTGTTTCTTTTGCACTGAAATCACTACAATCTCTTAGTCCTGCTAGATAATAGGAGTTCACTGAGTAGGTATTAGATCTAGAGACCAGGTCGATAATTAGACTTAACCTCTATTTTGCATTTCCACTCTGCGATTATACTTGGTCGGAGTTTGGTGTTGTGTCGTAGCGTGTCAATGTCTAGGGGACGAATTATTGTCACTAACGTTATAGCTATAGGGACAACATGTTGTCATTCATGGAAAAGAAAATAAACAACAACTTGCGAGTATCGAGGAAGGTTTTTCCTATTTCAAACCTTCTCTTTTTCGTAGTGCCAGTAATTGTACTCACAAGAGGACTCACCTCCATCATCAACAACCTTATTTCATTTTTCCATCCTTGCACTTCATGTCAGTAACAAATAGCCTTTATGTGAAATGCACAAACAACTTGTAAAAGATTAGTTTACAGCCTTTAAACTACCATGGAGTACAAACAGCTTTTAAATGATAAACTTACAAATCTTAAATGGAGACTAATGGAGAATGACGAAACTTGAACTATTGAACTAATTTTTGTGACCATGAATGGAATAAATGATAAGCCATTAATTGCACATGTTTTTACCCCTATTCTGGAGCCGTTTGAGATGGTAATTCTCGTGTTTTAGGCCGATTTCACTCTAGGTTGTGTTTGTTTATAATATTTCAGGTCCTAGCAAGTGAATGAAGGTTTAGGAGCGAGTTCGGGGTCGATTGGACGAAGATCGGGCGCGAGGCAAGTCAAAAAGGAAGACACACGGGCACAACCAGAAGCCACACGGCCGTGCAAGTGACCACTTTGGCCGTGTGGGATTGTGCGAGTCTTCACACGGCTTGCCCTGAAATCCACACGGCCGTGTGAAGGAGTGGTTTGGCCGTGTTGAATTGTGCGAGACTTCACACGGCCAGGCAGGGTGAGTTACACGGCCGTGTGACCCTGGCCGTGTAGGTTGACTGAAGTCCAATTAATCGATACGCGGCGTTTTGAAGTCACACGGGCAACTGGGCATGCCACACGACCGTGTGGCCCTGCCCGTGTGAGTCGGGAATTCCTGGTTTTAACCCAATTTCGGGCTGAAAGTGAGAGGATCAAGTTTTGGAGCAAAAACAGAGCCCTAGAGAGAGAAAGTACGAAGAACACATCCTAGAAGCTATCTTGGAGCTGGGTTTCATCAAATCAAGCTTGGAGATCGTCATAGGAGTGGAAATCATCATCCCAGAGCAGATTTTCCTCATCTTTATGAGTATGGCTACTCTGTATTCTGTTTTCCTCTCTCTCTCTCTCTCTCTATGGAGTAGAACCCTTCTCTCACTTGGGTATGAAGAACCCTAGTTCTATGTGTAAGGGATTTGATTGTAATGACTTGGGATGATATTACTGCTTGGTTTTAATCGAATGATGCATGTTTATTGAGTCAATTGAAGTCTGATCAGCTTTTCTTGATTTCTGCTGCAACCTGGCCTGCAAGTTTGGGCAGCATCATTGCTTGTCCAAGCGAGAGTTGGAGAAGCTGAACTGCTACGAGCACCTCTCCCCCGTTGTCACTAACCGCTACTGGCGCCCCCTACTTAGCATTCGCGAGAAGTTGTACCACGAGCTCGTGCTCGAGTTTTACACTACCTTCGAGCACGCAGACACAGAGGATTGGAAGGACGGTGAAGCTGTCAAGTTCCGGCTCGGCGGTGAACCACGATCCATGAGCTACCACGATCTGGCGAATGCTCTCGGCCTCAACCTGGTCGATGACAGAGACTTCATCACCGAGAGCACCGAGCCAGCGAGGGTGGACTTTGGGGCACTGTACTTCAGCCTCGCTCGGCCCGATCAGCTTCCCTTCAAGGCGGGGAAGACGAAGGCCAGCACATTGCAGCTCGACAACCGCATCCTCCATCACATGCTGGCCAAGTCTTACACTCCCGCCTCGGACAGTGCCAGCGCCATCACCAAGAGAGCCATGTACCTTATCCAGTCGATGCGCCGGAGGGATCATCCTCTCCACTTGGGTTCGGTGGTGGCGAGGACCTTCGAGAAGAGTGCTTCTGAGCTGAAGAAACTTCACTGCACTCCCCTAATCACCCGCCTGGCAGACTACTTCCAGATATCCCTGCAGGGGTGCACAGAGCAGGGAGAGACCACTCCCTTTGGCCTGTTTACGATCAACAAGATGCACCTGCTTCGGGAACAACATGGTGTTATGTGGATCGAGGGGTTTCCTCAACCTCAGATCCCAGAGGCGGTCCAGCCAGAGGCTCCCGAGGGTGCGGCTGATGAGGAGGTCCAGCCGGAAGATGTGGACGATACTGCTGCCGCCCGCCCCACCACCTTCGAGTACGGGGGTGGCAGTTCCAGCTTCCCCGGCCAGGACTACTTCACTCAGCAGTTCGAGCAGCTGCGTCTCCAGAACCAGCCGCTCTATGACTATCAGATGCAGTTTCAGCAGCAGTATTCGGCACACCATGCCGAGTACCAGACCCGGATGGCTGCGTATGATGAGCGTCTGGACAGGATGGAGACCCAGCAGGGGATAGCCTTGGCGTGCATCGAGAGGGAGCAGGCCCGAGCTAGGCGCATGCAGGAGGTCCAGGGGCATCTGCTCCAACTGCTACCGGGCGAGCAGCCAGTCTGGAGGACTCCC